CTTGTATATACTGAGTCATTTTTTTTCCTTGCTGCTTTCCAGATTTTCTCTTTATATTTGATGATGTGTCTAGGTCTGGTTTTCTTTGTATTTTTTCTACTTGGTGTTCACTGAGTTCTTTAAATCCATAAGTTAGTGTTTTGTATCAAATTTGAGAAGTTTTCTGTAATTCTCTACAATATTTTTTCTGCCCCTATCTCTCTGTTCTCTTCTGAAAATCCTGTCATACATAACTTAGGACTCTGGAAATTGTACCAAAAGCTCTAGATCTCTGTTCAATTTCTTTTACTGTTTCTCCTTTTTTTGTTTTATGTTTTTTTGGATTTTGATTGGCTACTTTCTAATGATTTGTCTTCAAGTTTACTGATTCTTTGTCACCTCAAATCTGTTGAATCTACTGAATTAATTCTTCATTTCAACTATTTTTCTTTTCAGTTTTATAATTTCCATTTGGTTCTTTTTTTTATAATTTCTCTATTGATATTTTATATTTGCTTCCATTCATTGTCAGCATATTTTCCTTTAATTCTTTAAAATAGTTTTCCTTAAGTGTTAAACATATTTAAAAAACTTGTCTCAAAGTCTTTGTCTGCTCAGTCCAATATTATGGTCCACTTAGAGCCATACTTACATAGTTCCACAGTTAGCCAGGTTTGTGTGAAAAGCTATCTCAGCCCTTCCATGGATATCTAATTTCTAGGATTTGTCTGTTAAATTCTGTGGTCCAAATTTGGGCCACAACCTCAGATTAGCGAAGCTGGGGGTTTTTCCCCATCCAGTCTAAACTGGATCCACCACTTTATATTGGAGAAACCTAGTTATTTGTTGCCTCCTTCCATCCCAAACTAAGTCTACCATCTCTGGCAGGAAAGTTGGTTTTCGCATCCATTCCCAAGGCAGGAGTGAGGGAAGGGGATGGATGGGTAAGAGTAGTTTCAGGCAAGAAGGTCATGGGCTCCTGCTGTTTTTAATTAAATGTTCAACAATTTTTTAAAGAATAAATGCTTTTCAAATTATTGTGCTCCTTTGATTGATTTCCACTATTATGGAATAGTTGATTTTATTAATGTTGTCCAGTTTTATACTTGCTTTTTATCGAGAGAAATAACTTGACCTCTTTACATCACCATAAAAGGGTCCTCTTCTTCATCATTGGTTTTGAGAGAATTAAATAAGTTTATATAT